TATAATGCAGATTTATTTCCCTATATAAAAAGCAAATTACAAGAGAAAGGTTATTTATTAAACACAGATATAAATAGTGTGTTAAATTCAGATAATTCATCAAAATAAAAAAAAATATAATATATATATTTATAATGAAAAAATATTATATTATGTATTTGCCATAGATAAGGTAAACCCTTCGAAAAAATATCAGGAAGATAAAGATGCACCAGCGTGACCTTTTTGTATCATAATGGTAGGGGCTAGTAATTCAGGTAAGACCAATATGAATTTAAACCTACTAACAATGTCCAAATTTTATTACATGTTTAAGAAGAAAAGGTGTTCTAAGATAGGGGAACGCAATGTCAAATGTGATGATGTAGTTCTTTTCAGACATCATTTGAATAAGTCGAAATATAAAATAGTTCAAAATTTTTATAAATATCTTGCTCAAGACAAATCAAAGTCCTATTATGAAGATGTTACATTTTCTGTACTACCTCCTAATAAAATTCCAGATTCCAAAAAGTTTAATACTAAAAGAGTACATTAGTGATATTCGAAGATCTTTACTTTGACCCTTCAGCTATACAGAAAAAAATTATTCCATTTTTTATCCGAGGTCGTCATGGAAATATTTCCTCAATTTATGTTGCTCAGAAATTTTACAAAATTCCAATAGATATTCGTGAAAATGCTACTCACATTGTTCTCTTTAATGATTGAGGCTCTATTTGAAAACTTGCAAATATTATAAGTCCTTACACTGATGTAGATCCATGAAAAGCTTCAAAAGTTATTGATGGCTATTTGAGGCAAAAAGAGTTTATAGTTATAGATCTAAATAAATCCAGATCTGAGTCTTTCTCACTTCGATGGGACACCCTTCTTGATCTAGAAAAGGAAATAGAAGGGCTAAAAGATAATAAACATTATACCTAACCAGATCGAGATTTCAAAGATGTAATGAATTTTTAATCTTTTGTATTAACTGTGCTTATATAAAGAACCAAATATGAGTCACCCTCTTATTCTTCCGGAGTTACTTGAAAATACATTCAATTTCTTGACTAAGGATAAAGCACTCTATCCAACATTATTTGTCAATAAACTTTGGTATCACTGCAGTGTTCCGATTCTATGGAGACACATTGAGTTTTCTATAGAAGATTATCAACAGAATCAGTAAAGATATGTTAGGACCTCTTTATTGACAATTAATATAGTTTAAAAGAGTTATATGTGAAAAGACAAAACCTACATATTGCTCAAAGATGGCATATCTCAAAATGGAGGGTTTAAAAATCTCAGATAAATTACTCGGTACAATTCTGCATTCATGCCCAGATATAAACTTTCTCATTCTCGATCGAAGTCATGGTTTTAGTAATATACCAATTATAGAAATTGCAAAATATTGTCCGAAGCTACTACATCTGAGTCTTGATGCATGTACAGCTATTGCCGATAGATGTGTTAGACAATCTTGTCCAAATTTAAAATATATACAGTAAGTCTCGCTTTTTTGTATAGAGATAGTAATATTTCCAGTGCATTTGTGATTGAAATAGCACAATCTTGTTCCAATCTAATATATTTAAACCTCAATGGACAACCTTCTATTAATGATGAATCCATTCGTGCAATTGTATACTTATGTGTAAATCTTCAACACCTGGATTTGTCGTTCAATGAAATAATTATGAATGAAGCTATATATGCGATTGCAACTGGCTATCCAGATATGCGAAATTATTTTCTCAAAGGCTGTGAGCGGATTACTGACAAATCAATCAAAAAAATTGCAGATTTAAATAAAAACCTACAAAATATTACGTCTTATTTCCTATTATTGATGTTGTATATAATATAGTTCATTCATGTTCAGACATTCAGAATATTAGTTTTCAATATTTTATATCACGGATAAAATAATATATGAAATTACACACCACTGTTCTAATTTACTAGTTCCCAATGTGAAAAAATGTCCATTTATTTCTGATAAATCAATCTACTTTCTATTAAGCAAAAAATTGACACTAGAGCTAATATTAGATTGGGTTCCGTAATTGATATAGGCTGGGATAAAAAATTTTAACATTAGATGAATAAACCAAGGTTTTGACATTTAAATAATTATTTTTTCCATTATTTATTAATACAACAATATAGTATACTATCTTATTGGCCACTTCTATTAAGGAGCTGATTGTTTCCAGCCGATGTGAAATTTAAGTAGATGTGTAATAATAACAAGCGCGATCTATTATCAACACTAGGGATTTTTGTGTCAGATGAAAATGGGTTGATATATAAAAACTAAAGTAAAAAATGTTACCAGCTTTTCCTTAGAAAAGATAACAAAATAAAGTCTAAATTATTATGCTCCTATTTCTAAAAGTCGCTTTCGGAATCTAACCTCTTTTTAGAACTTATCCAATTAATCGGAATATAATATTCTTCATATTGTCTATTAATAATGGAACTGCGCATAATAGGATCATTTTTATATAATTCAATCCATTTAGTACATCATTGATTAAATTGTTCTTAAGTCTAGAATTTTTTACTTTATGTCTCGTTAAACCTAGAAACTTCTTATCATTAGAAGTACCATCATCTCTCATTAAATTCCAAGCTTAGGTTGCTAATGATTCGGGTCTATTCTTATAATTTCGATAAGCTATTTGTATAATTCTTGCTTTTCCAAAATTAGTCTTTAGTTTATTGCATTCGTGATCCCAATGATGTTCCTGCATCAGGTCTTTGGGTTCGAGACAATCAACATACCTCTGCCTAGTAAAATGGAATATATTTTTAGGATTTGGTCTATAATAATCGTAATTGACAAATTTACCTTTACCAAATGACATAAATAAACAACTGATGTAACACCTGGTAGATATTCTAATATTTCTTTGTATATTTGAGTTCTTGCAGTTTTATCGATAACTCCTGTCTTATGTCGAATTTCGATAACTTTATTCTCAAAATTATCTGAGTAGCGAATCCAGGGTAAAATTTCTTCATGTCCAGATTGTATTGCTTTCTTAAATAAATGGATTAATCTTTGTGTTGTGATTTTAGAGGATTCATCAGTTGATAATTTTTCAGCTTCAAAGGAGCGAGTTTTGACTCATTATCCATGATGTCTTTGGAAAGTATTTCTACGGGATCAGGTGAAACAATAAGAATATCATTCTGTAAATCTCGTATTAAATCTAGTTCCATATTTTGATTTTTAGTAAGCTCAATTTAATCAGAATCGTCAAGATCCTCCACCGGTAAAGAGGTATTAGGAATGTTTTTATATCACATGACTCAGAGTGACACTCCTAGAATCGATGAATTATTATTCGAAGATAAGTTTTGTACTTGAATCTTCTTTTCCCGATTTCTTTCTCTTATTTCTTTACTAACAGTTTCTTTATGTACCCGATTCAGAGATTCATCAATCATTTTATCTTCAGAAGATCTTGACTCCGTACGAATAGGTGGTTCAGAGTATTGAATATTCGTCTCCTGGTATATATCATAGCAATAAGATCGCCTTTTTCTTCATCATTTTGTGATAACTTTTGTTCCAATTTTAAAACCCTAGATTTGAGTTCGGTATTTTCATTTATAAGGTTTGTAATATCAGTTTTATGTTTCCCATCTTGTGCCTCGAATCTAGTCTTAAATTCAGTATTCTCTGCTTTAACTCTATATTCTCAGCCTCAACCTTAGCATATTTCTTTCTAAGTTCGGCAATCTCAACTGAGAGTTTAGAATTTAATTCTCTTAACGAAGCAATTGCAGTTTGTGAATCTTTAGACTCGTCCCTTTGGGCTTGTGCATCTGACATTTTTTTATATAAAATGTGATATATTCAATTAATCATACGAAATCAGAAGATCACTTCTTGGCAAAAACCGTTTCCCAGGGAAACGATCAGAAAAAAAAATTTATTAACACAATATAAAATGCATGAGGCGGGGAAAATATCTGCCCACTATTTCTTAGTAATTTTTTTGATTCGAACCCTCTTACTGGCTGGGGACTTATCGACTGTTACCCGATCTTTTAATAGGCCAACGATAATACCGATTACCTTTTTCACATTTCTTCGGAGAGCATCGAGATTTTCGTTGACTGCCGTCTTCGAGAGATTTATCTGATGTTCACTATTACTTGTAGCATATATTCCTTCAGGAGTATACATGATGAAATGCCACTCCATGGCTGAAAATAAACTCGATAATTAGAAATTTACGTGACTAAAAATTCATTTCCATAATAGAGAAATCTATTCTGAAAGAGCTCCATAATGTCGAGAAACTTCTCAATTTTTGTTCTGATATCTCATCGGCAAGTCTTTTTGCTGGGCCAGCTTTTAATCCATAACTGCGAAACTCCTCTTTAGGTGTGTTAAGAAAGTCACGACCAGAAATCCTTTCATTACGTAGGATCCCCCCTGAATTGTAACATTGCCCTGGAATCAAAAGATTAGCATACTATCACTGGGAAATAATATATAGGCTTTAGCCTGGGATATATGTTAACGTTTCTATGTTACTAATGGCAAATCAAAGCCTTGGTCAAAACATCTGAAATCATGTTTTGCAGGAATGTAGTTATTACAAATTGATTTTTTTATTATTCAAATACGCATACGCTATATTACTATTTTAAACACGCTTGTTAGGCTGTGTAAAAATCGAAAAGAAATTTACAGTAAGAAAGCCATAAAATCAAAATACTAAAACAAGTAACTAATAATAATCTTCCCATTTCGTAATCTGCTCATATACAGTTCCATTATCTTCAAACCAACTCAACTGATCTACCCCTTTAACTATGCGTTTCGATGCTTCTTCGGGAGAATCACCAAGTGGCCATAACGTTTGACTCTCATTTTCCCACAAAAAAACACGATCATAACAGTCTAAAAAGATCATTCCATACTCTGTCTCTCCGATAATAATTATATGATCAAAGCCGAAATTAGCAAACACATCTTATATGATAAATTAGTTCTTTAGGATCACTATCAAGAACTTCATAATTAACCAAGGTTGTAATCGAGAATTATCTTTAAATGCATTAACTAAGATGAGCGAATCGTTGCAACGCGATGTTCTTCCATTTTTTCCTTCACATAATTGCACTTGAGACATGATTGTAGGATTTTCGGTAATTGATTTTCCTTTACTGGTAAAGCGAGAGTCCGCGTGTACAAGGCGACACGTTTTCCCGGGGACAATCTTTTTCCAACCATCGCCTCCCAGGGAACCGATTCTGTGCAGTTTCCCAAAGGATGCCTGCATTTTTCCAATTGTTCCACTGTTAGGACATCCTTCAAGTTCTTTGCCCAACGTAATATCTGTATTTTCTCCGTCCTTGTATTTACTACCTCCATTCTCCCTGTTGGATGGCAACGAATCGACGAACCCATCATGAATTTCACATCTTTGCCTTTCCGTTTCGATACTTGATTTGAGTATGTGAGGTTCACTGTTGTCGGACGCAATATAGTTCTCAGGATGTTCCTGTCTTGCCTGCATGTTTGCAACCGCACAGTCCTATTCTTCGGCAAGAATTTCTCTGATATCTTCTGCGCATTTTTTTCAGGTTATCGGTCTCACATGACCAGACTATGCTACGATCACGAATTTGAGTTTATTAATTGAACTATTGCAGGTAAGACAATGTTCCAAATCCATAATTCCCATGTTTTTCATCGCAAATAGAGCATGATGAGTCCCACGGTTGAGCTAATGAACGCTCTAACACGAATTTGATAATTAACTCTGAATCAAGTGGATCGCATGTTTAGTAATATATTGTATGTTTTGTCATTTATTTAAAATTTCTTATACTGTTTATTCTTCTTAGATTCTCTTTTTCTATAGTCTTTTATTTAGAGATACAGGCCTGACTATCTGTACAAATCTCAATATAAAAACTACTAGAAGTATAGTAAGGATTGTTATCAGTTTATCTCTTATAAAAAAAAAATCAATTGTTTACTTCTATTTGAAACTTGCTTTCTTTTTTTGTTTTTTCTATCTGAATCCAAGCATTTACCTTTTTTATTTCTTAATTTCTATAATTAACAAGCAATTTATCAAAATAAAAAGTTAGCTTTTCTTTGGATCCAAATTGTATTAGAATATTTTTATTAGTTGATCTTGATATATTTTTTCTTTAATATTTTCTTGTATAATAATTTTTTCACAAGTTTTGATATCTATAGAATTTACTTTATTATTTTAGAAAGGGATCTGAAATAAACTCTGACCATCATAATTACTCTTTTGATTATTTTTTCAAGTGTTGTCTTAGGATTTTAAATCTTTAATTTTCATGTTTTTCTAATAAATTTTCTTATATTGAAGTATAATATCATATGTATCTTCTTTATTTCTCTTTCTATAATATAATCATTGTTTTATATTGTAGCTTTTAAACATTAAAACATTTTTTAAACTAATTTTCTGGTTATTATTAATATTATAACAAATTAAATATTTTATTATTGCTTTATATATTTTTTTAATTATTTTAACTTCTCTCAAGCTATTTGATTTCTTTTGTTTTTTATTACCATCTATAGTTTATATCTTTATTATAATTAAACTTTATTATAAGGTATTATAGCTTCTATTTTATATAATCCTTTCTCTAGATTCTTATAAACTATTATAACTATTCTTTCAAAATGTTTTAATTATAATCTAAAACTATTTGAAATAGATTCTTTGCTTGTATTCAATAAGAGTTAAAGTATTTGCTAATCTCTTATTTTTTTAATTTTCTGGTCAAGTATATAATATATATATATTAGTTTATTATTTTTAAGTGATGATATGTCTTTTCTGTATTCTTTTGATATAAGATATTCTCTAATCAAATTGTTTTCCTTATTTTATTTAAAAAGTATCTTGTTATTTATAACTTTGAAAGATTATTTTTATATCTTTTACTAGTTTAATTACTTAAAATATAAAATCATTTTTATTTAATAGATATAATTTAATTATTTGCATATTAATAAATTAAATGACTTGAGATTTATAAAAAAAACTCTTGTCCACTTCCCCTTACCTTGTGAAAATTTCCTTTTTAGGAGGTTTTCTTTTCCCTTCCCCTTTCTTTACTCCATGCATGCAAATAACAACCGTGTAGTGAACAAAGTCTGAGATGTACTAATACCACACGAGGCTCTGTTATATGACTTGTTGGTGTATAGAAGGTATTACGTCTAGGGAAACATGAGCAGACCAGCACTCTGCACATGACAAACATCTGAGACAAAGGGAAATGTCCTTAGGGGTGAAAACACACCCGGAGTGAGGCCTTGTATTTGACTGAGTTGTCATAGACAAAAATACCTTTATTCTTCTTAGTTTTTTCTAATTCCTTAAACTTCTCCCATCTCTTCTTTTTTTCCCGTTTACTCTCACCCTCTCATTTTATACTCTTCCTGCCAACGGACAGCTTTCCCCTTTCTCAAGGTTTTCTTCCTAGGCCTACCACTCCTTCCTCTACCAAATCATTTCATCAACCCCATAGTATATCAAACCTTCTCTCTGGACAAGTTAGTGGGCTTAACTCATAAAAAAGGATACTTGATAACACCACCACTACTCAAACTCAAAAAAAAACTATGGGACTTTCTCTTGTTTTAACCGTTTCCCAAACTTCACCAAAAACTATGGTCAGCTTAACCCTCCAAAAGATCGGCACAGGCTGATCATGCCTTATTAGAACTAAGGCCCCTAGTAAAGAAAGACCCATGGCCTATACCTCAATCCATCCACCCTCCTAGCTTAGGATATCCCAATATGGTGCTCCACTTAAATGAAAATCAGTCAAATGGGACTGATTCGATGCCACAGGTGGTGCCAAAGAAGGCAACGTACCCCCTTCCAAGGTTTGAGTAAATAATATTTGAGAATATTGAAAGGTAAAACTAAATTCCGTCGGGTACATACTATACAGCTAGTTTAGTGAATATAACAAAAAATTTATAAAAGCTCAATACTAAATTAACCTGTTTCACCGTCGATGACTGTATATTAACCGTCCGGCCCTTAGCTGGATCTGCCCCACTCACAGAGTGATTAGTGGGTCCACCTAGAGAAAACCGTGATAGGTTATCATTAATCTGTATATATATAGAAAATATATAGTTTGTATGAGATGATTGATGTGATGCCCAGGATTTCATTATCTAAGATGTTAAGTTAACTCTTAATAAAAGCGCTCACATCTAATACCAGTTGCGGTTTAAAAAAAAAAATAAATAAATAAATTAAATGACTTTCAATTTTTTATTTATGCTTGTTTAAGTTTAATAATTATTGGGATTTTTACTGATTTAGGATTATTTAACTTGTTGTATGATTCTATTATTTGATTTTTTCATTGTAGCATTCAGATACTCAATAAATTGTAAATCTTTGAATGATAAATTATACTATTTAATATAGATTTGATAAAACATTTTTGTTTTTGAAAAGTTTTCTATATACTATTGTCAAAATATTATATATTTTCCAGAACAATATATTATATTATATTCTAAATTCTATTTTAGATATTAATATCTTATTTAAAATATAGAAAGCTTGTTTGTTCATTATCTTTTTATTTTTAAGGACTTAAGTTATAATATTAATTTCTTTAAATATATATTCTTTAAGTTCAATAATAGTTATTTAATTATCTGTTCAAATTCTAGAAATCTGGCTTGTTCTATTTTGTTAGATTGTTTAACTACTTATTTTTCAATACCTACTTGAACTTCTTTATGATAGCAATTGGAATTATTAATAGTTATCAGAGTTTGACTTGTTATTATTAATTTAAGAGTTGATAATATTAAAAAAGATTCTTGCAACTTTTAAAATCATTTTTATATTCTTTTTAAATCTTATTATTCATATCATATTATTTATAAAGATTATAGTTACATGTTTTAATTTTAATTCTTTTATAATAAAAAATCTCAAAATTTTTTATAGTAGTAATAAAATATTTCTCTTTAATCTTTTTTATCTTTAGTTATTATTGATTCTATAAGATTATTTTTAAATATAATCTAAAATTTTCTATTTTTAAAAAGGTTTATTATAATCTTTATGAATTTTTTTAAAGCTTTAATTCTTTTTATTACTTTCATTAGTATTTCCAGACTAATTATTTTATATACTTTGATTATATTTTAAAAAAGTATTTATTATTTTTTTTTCTCTAACATCTTTACAGATATTGTTAAAAATCTGAATTGGTTTTACTATATTTTTTTCTGATAGCTTCATATAACTAAGTTTTCTGAAAATATTATTGTTTTTATAAATATTTTTTATTTGATTAATAAGAACTTTGATAAATATCTTTTGTAACTTTTAATAAAACAATAGATCAAGTATTTATAAGTTTACAACTTCATAATCTTTGTTTAGCTATAAACTATATATGCTTTTATTTCTATTGTGTTGAAGTAACTTTTTATTTCAAAAAGTTATTAAGTATATTTCTTAAAATTTCTTTTCCTTTTTAACTTAACCTCTTAACAATTTAAGTAATTTATTATCTCAAGCTTTTTGAACATATTTTTTAAATCTACAGTATATTTCTTTTTTTAATATTCTAATAAACTATTATAATTGATCTTTTTTTTATTAAATATCTCTAGATAATAACATTTTATTTCTTTTTTGATTTTTTCTTTTATATTATAATATATTCAATAACACCTTGCTTGACTTTGACTTTGTCAAGTACTATTTTACTTCTAACTTAGTTTGTTAAAAAGCTAATCATTTTTCTTCAATGATTTCTCAAATTATTATATTATTGTTCTAAAATAGTTTGATAGCATTTCTTGTTTTTGTTTTTTTACCTTTTGCATATAAACTTGAAATCTTTTATTATATATTAAATATTCTTTTTTAAGAATCTTCATAGCATATTAGAAATATTATATTGAATAGTAAATAATTTATTAAACTATATAACATTTAAATATAATTTATTTTGCTACTACTTGTTGAGTCCTATTTTGTTAAAGTTTTTTTTTTGCTTTTTCATATTGTTTATATTATATGTCTATAAAATTTTATTCATCAAAAAAATTAAATAAAAAGATTTTTGAATAGTATAATAATTTAAATTTTGCTCTGTAGTAGTAATTTACAAACACTAGAATTAATAGTTAAAAGAGTTTTTATTTGAAATACTAATGGAGCAATAAATCATTTCCAAAGTTACACTTGGAGTTTTGATTAATTTCAAAATATTGACAAGTGAATTAAATAGAGATTTAACTTTAATGATATATTTTTAATATAAAGTATATAAAATATTTATAAAGTATATATATCTAGCCTAACAGAGGACTTAAAAAAAATAATAATAATAATTTGAATTTTGCTTTAAAAAATGATTTTCTATCTTCTAATAGATTTTATATTGTATTAAAATCTCTTATCTTTATTATATAATAGTCTTGTTCATATTTTTTTTAATAAGACTTGTTATTTTTTTTAATATCTTTTTATACCTTTGTTTATCTGATTGAATATAAATCTCTATAGTATAGATTTTTTTTTTTATGAGTATATTAGCAATAATTATATATTCTATTTTTTTTTAATATCTTTTTTAATTAGAAAATTGACTTTTACTATAAAAAATATATCTTTATTAGCACTATAAAAATGCTTACAGATCTTTTGATTATCAAAAACCTATTGTATATTAACTTGAATTGATTTTATTTCATGCAATTCCAATATATCTATTTTCTATTTTAGTATTTTTTAAATAAGACTTTATTGATTTTCTTATTTATAATATCTCTAATATTATATATACTTATTCTAATTATCCTTTTATATATTTTATCTTTGGTTTATATTTATTGTGATTATTTAAGAATATTTTTTGCTCATCTTATAAAAATACTATAATATTTAAATTTTTATTATTTTTTATTATATTATTGTTATTTAATTTTTGTTTATTGTTCATATTTGCAATCTTTAATGAAAAGGTATTGAGCTTTTGCTTTTTTTGATTAATATAAAAAACAAATATATTTTTAGAAACAGTTTGCTTTTCTATTATCTTGTCTTGATTTTTTAAAAGTTGTTTATTCCTTAAAATTATCTATTTTATTGGGTGATTTCTTTAGATTAGTTAAAATACTTTTTAGAGAATCTTATATACTTTCTATTTAAGTCTTATTTCATCTTTAGAGTATCTATATCTATTATTTCATTGATTTCTTATTAGTTATTTATTGCTTTCTATTATAGAATATTTATCTTCTCTATTTTTTCTTATCTTATTTTATTGTTATAATACTATTTGTTTGCCTTTAATTTCTGAAACTATAGTATCTTATAAGAGTAAAAACAGAATCTATAGATTTATTGTTTAATTATGAATCTAGTGCTAGCTTTTCATTTCTTTCAATTCTTCTGTGCTTGAACTTATGTTTTTTATTTTACTTTTAAGGTTCTGTTTTTAGGCTTAGAGATATGTTTATACTTCAAAATAATATTTCTATAAAAAGATGTATTGTTTGCATATATTATTTCTATCTTTTTTTTTTATCTCAAAGCAAACTATTATAAAGTTTTGCTTTTTGAGAATATATAAATCTTTGGATATACTGTATAGTATGTCTTAGCTTGAACATTATTTAATGCTCTGGTTATCAGCTAGCATAGATTTTGTTAGTACTTATTTATAAGTCTTGCTGAATTATTATTTCTCTCAATTAGTATATTGTTAATTTTTATTATCACTAAATTCAAATTTAAGCCAATAATTATGTCGACTCGATTTTTAAGTAACGAAATGCTATACCTTTTATCTAAAATCATAATAATAATATTTTTTTTTTTAAAAAAAATGCTTTGTTGCATTCAAGGTTTAATTAATTAAAAATTTTAATCATTAGTTATTTAATTTACTTTTTGTTATTAAAATTATAATAGTTTCGGATTGTAGTTCGAAATGATGAATTATACTTTAAGAATTCAATGAAATTCAGTCTTGCGACTACCTTATTTCATTGGATAATTATAAATATAGCTCATCATATGACATTAATTTTTAAAATTACAAATAGTAATTGTACTGAGCGTATTTTAAAAATTATATTATACAGATAAAATCACAACAAATTTATCGAAAACACATCGACAAGTAAATTTTGATATATTACAAATTAATAAAGTTTTTAAATGTTTTCTTTTTTTTTTTTTTTTTAAAAAAAAAACCATCCTAGAATTCTTCACCGCTTGACAATTCACCAGATTCCAACTCTCCACTCACAAATTCATTCAAGCTTACCACACCTTCCTCTTCAGGAGACAGTGGTCCATCACAATCATAAGGTGGATTGCCTTCATCCCCTTCGTTAATAACCTCAGGGATGGACCCCGAGGTTGCCCTTTTGTTGATACAATGTTCGCCGATTGTTCCGCCAGTGGCATCACGTTGATGGAATGGAGAATTAGGAAATTCGTGAGCTCCATAAACACTAACTCTCGCCTCACCCAAATATGGAGAAGCTTCACCCCAATATCCAACCAGACTTGAACCTCCTTCACTGGAAGTTAGTGCCCGGGATAGCTCAACCGTGTCATCAAGACATATTTTTTTGTATGGATTAAGGGGTAGCCAAAGTTTGCGACTCAGTGCCTTCACAAGATTGGGATGAGTGTATGTCTGATATTGCGAAACCTCATCTTGATCAAGGCTGGAACGCACCGCATCCCGAAAGTTTCCGCGCGAAGAAAAACGGGGAGCACTCCGAGTGATAAGACTGTCGGGAGACGAAACCAACGGAGTGTTGTTTTGAGGAATAATCAATAATTTTATCTTCGGTCTGGTCACATTACTTGAGGCAATACCATCATCGGATTTTTTTTGTGAAATCCCAGATTCTTTTTCATGAGATACTGATTCGGATGTGCGAGGGGAGGTAGCAGTATTTCCATCTGCTATCAAAGACTCTTGATCCCGGAGAGTTGCGCTTGCATGTTCGACATCGATGTTATTAGAATCTTTCTCGAGTGAATTTTGATCGCGCTCAAGGTTCTCGGCCGAATTCTGGGCTTTGGATGAATTTGCCGTAGTGCTAAGTTGCACGATCTCATTATCAACTATTGAAGCTTCGTTTTTATGAAAAGGACATTTTGCGCTCGTTTCACTTTCAGCGCCAATAGTTGCTTCTAATCTGTGGAATCCATCATTAGTAGAATTTCTCCCAAATATGCTTCCCATTCCAGATTCTATGATTCCAGTGTTTACCAAAGCATCTTGAGAATTAAAATTCACTACTTGGTGCGTGGCACTATTATTTTTGTGAGATGCTTTTGGTGATTCATCAATGGGTTTCTCTGTCTGAACTTCATTATCACCAATACGGCTATTCCGTTCCACGTTTGTACGATCAAGCCTCGTGTCTAGAGCCAAGAAGTGTGTTCTGGAGTAAAACGTTTTGTGACAATAATATTTGAAATAACCGGTGCCTATCAAAAGTGGAACAAGAAAGGCCCCGGGAATAATGGCTGTGCGTAACCATAACATCCCGATAACGGTTATTTGAAACATTATCAATCCATCAGTGGTGTATCTGAAGACGAGACGAAAAAACTTTCCGCCTGATTCATATCGGCGTACATAGCAAAAAGCAAATTGATGTTTGAACACTAACAAGGCGATAGAATAATAAATAAAAGCAAAGACCAAGATTAGGGGATTGATGGTTGAATAGGTGATTGTGATGACGAGGATTAAGATGTGATTGGGATAGTAATAATAAAATTGGAAGGGCCAAGGATGAGATACACGTTGTAGCATACGTGGAGTAGTGGCCACGAATCTGGAGGTAAGTATTATGTGAAGGAAAATTTGTGATCCAACTTGAACAAGTTCTAGTCCGTGAGTGCATGTGTTGAAAATCACATAATTGATAAAAAAGGTCGCACCCTGATAAGTTTTGTCCGAAAAGAGAGTGATCATTAATTAATCCATTCATTCATTAATGTACATTTTTTCGATCCCCAAAATTACCTGCGGTAGATTAGTTGCCAAGATCTCGAAAATGCTTGTCGGAGCATTGATAACATCGAAAATTGATTGTAAAAAGGTGATACCCAATAGGAACACGATAAAAACATTGAAGAGAGAAAAGTAATAATATCGAACAAGAACTGCCTCTTCTAACTCGGAATAAGAAGGAAAGCTTTGTTGCTTTGAAAGTTCTGGCGACAGAAGATAACAATATTAGAATTAGTTGAATGCAAAAAAAAATAATAATAATTTTCCCTTGGCTACCCACCCATTAAAATCCAAGGTAGTATCGCCATAAAAAATGATACCAGTACTGTTGGTAACACATTCTGAAGTAAGCTTTTGATTATAGGAGCGGCTTCAAGAAAGGGACCCAAGAATTTAATGCGTTGGGAGAGCGAATCGAATGATGTCAAAGTAAGGAAAGCGAAAATTGGAAAAAGCCAGAACAATGTCAAAATCCTACCGATGCACAGAAGATGAATTACAAATCTTAATTATTTATCAGTAATCGTTGGCCATTATTCCTAATGATCTTACCAAACGCATAAATTTACGATAATGGTGCGTATCGTTTTCTCCCTGAATCTCATAAACAAATTATCCCAGAGGAGATCTCTCGGTTCCGGTGCCATTTTTGTTGTGCATGTGTGCGGCTTTGAACACAATATGCTTTGTGCACAAAGCTGGGCATCAATATGGTCCCGAAATGTAACGAAGCCAGTACTTGTGGCTTTATATGGTGTCGCATTAGTTGGCTTGGATCTTAATTCAGCAATACGACGGTCCAAATAATTGAATTTTTTAAGATAATGATCAATTGAACGAACAATTTTTCCACTTCCCATAAATCCTATTCTATGTACGGGCTGATATTTGTCAAGTATATTTTTTGATAACTGACTAAGAGAATTCCATATAAGAAACTGTTGACCGTATCCATCCCCACGTTCCATGATATTCTCATTAACAAAGGTGCTGGTTGCAGATATCGTTGCATTTTTTGTTTGACCCGAAGATGAAGAATTCTCGTTATTAGCTGTTCGCTTCCTTTTACGCGAACCCATCCACTCTATTATTGATTGAATTCTTTGATGTTCTCTCGTTTCACCCGACTCAAGTATTATGGATAGATTTTCATTTTTTCTACCAAATAACCAACTTCCTACCCCAAACCTCCGTCTCGTAATGGCATTGCAGACATTTTTCGCTAGCTGTATGTGTGCCTTTTCCAACGCCAGTAGTACTTTCTCCCGCCTCGATATTTTTCTATCTAATTTTCCTACGTGTCGCACCATTCTTGCCGACTCAACCGGTCCTAACCCTAACTTTTCTACAAACTCTTTAAGTTTTTCCTCAGTTCTTAGACTATGTGGAATTCTTGAAATCATCACCGTTCGAGCAGTGATCGGGTCGTTGTCCGCCCTGTTCAAGAGATGCTGCCTAAACATTTTTATGTAATCATAATAATTTTTGTATAAAAGATACATCCAACTTAAGCTCACCAAATAAGTGCATATCGTATGAGCCCATAACGGATCGATAATATCAGTTGGTATATTACTAACGGAAAGTGATGAAACGCCATCTTCATTGCCTCCAGCGAAATAATTTATCGGGATAAGGATTGGACCGACGATTAAGAGATTAAATAATAAAAATTGAAATGCCATCTTTAAAAATCGAATGTACATTACGGCGTCTAAACCAACATTTTTTAAATAAAATTGTTCGTCTAAGGAAAATGTTGTCGCAATCCAAGAAAATAGACCAGGAGGTATAGGAGGGGATGCATTTCTTGAAACAATTTAGTTAGTACAAATAATTTGGGTATTTGCGAATCTACATCACTTCGAAAACTACTTACTTCAAAAGTCTTGTGCGTGGCGTATACAGATATTGCATAGACTTTTGACGTCGATTCCATTCGAACTGTAACAAGCAGTATGTCAAAATGCCACCAGATATTCCAAGTTGAGCTGCTAGGCCTAAGAATGTATTCGAGTAACTGTGAGCCGTGCCTAGAGTAGCCATTTCCAAGCGGTTTGTCTTTTAAGCTTTGAAAAGATATAACCACTCAGTTGCACGAAGATCAATATGCAAGAACACGTCTCAACTTCTAAAGGGTTATTTATAATATCGCGCAAGTATATAAAAAGGAGGAATTCGAAGGAAAGGAGGGTTAAAACAACGTCGATATTAGACCCCACCGGTTTTTGACGTTCTTCGCTCAATAAAAACTCAGTGATGTCAAACTTTCCGTATTTCAATTACGTAATCATTACATAAATACCATATAGTATTCATTGATCCGTGATACAGCGGGCAGACATTCCTTACGACTTTTTTGGTTTGTATATGCCATCTAAATTAAGAATTAATGCATCTATTTGTGTATAATAAATAAAAAGCATAAATGGCAAAACGAAACAAATTCGACGAGAACATGTGAGACGCAAAAATATTTTAGACACAATAGAATTCGAACTTTATTACCAATACAGTATGTTCTATAAATTTCGTGACTTTAATATATTATACTAATATATCAAGCGAAATCTTGTAAAGTGAAAGGGGATTGCTCTAAAACAATATTTGAATAATGTATACTGTATATTGTCTGTTTTTCGTTTCAGCATTAAAGGCGATTATATTGTGACAAGTTCGGTGTAACCCGAATTTTCGGATGATCAACGCATTACTATATATAAAAATAACCGATTTTTTATTATATTAAATCAAATATTTAATTAGCAAAAAAATAATTGTTTTTACAAACTGTATATACTGTAAATTAGATTAAATCGAATTTTAAAATTTTTAAACCGATCAAATTAAATTTTAGATTTTTTAAATCAACAAAATTTAAATTAGTTTATATAAAATTATTATTATTTTTTTTTTTTGTCCAAAGTTAGATTAGATATATGTAATTTATTAAACGTTTGTATAATTTATATTATTAAATGTTTCGTTAAAGCTAAATCTCTATTTAACTCACTCATCTCTATTTTAAATTTCTTAAAATTCTAAGTGCAACTTTGGAAGTGATTTATCGTTTCATTAGTAATTTAGATATAAATCCTTTCAATTGTTAACTTCATTATTTACAGGTTACTACAACAGATCCCTTTTTGATGTTCTAATCAGGCTTAAAATTCCAATTATTTTATTTCATACTTTCCTCTTTTTATAAAAATCTTTTTGAGATTTTCATCTTCTAATTTTTCATCTTTTGATGATGATTTTTTTCTTGTTAAGAATATAGTTTTCTGATTTAAAAAGATTGTGGATTTTTTTATCTTGTCTTTTCTATTGATTTCTAGAGTTTGTTTTTATTCTATAATCTTTTCACATCTTGTGTTCCAAATTCTTTTTTTAGTTTATATAAAATTAAATAAATATAAAGTATATATATATATATGTTTTTTAATTCACAATCATGTTATATGATTTAATCTTTATTGAAAAGTATATATAACCATTTACAATATTATAGATTTTTCATATAATAATTAATTTGTCATTACATCAAAGTACTTTAAGTCCAATTTAGAAGATAATATTTTATTTTTCTAAAAAATTAATATAAATTTCTATTCTTTAGGTTTATTATTAATAATTTATTACTATAGATTGTTCAAAAATTATAAATTGTTAAGTTAATAAAAAGAAAGGAAAAAAAAAAAAGGATAATTCCTTTAAAAAATTTATCAATTAAATAATAATTTCATTGAAATATTTATTTAACTTTTACTTAAATTTCAAAAAAAAATTTTTATTATCATTATTTATAGTATTGAACAAATTTATTTAATTAAGTTTACCATTTAAATAAGTATTAGATTAAAATAGCTCAAAAAAAACTCAAAGATCTTAATTTCTAATTAAAAAACTCAAAGATCTTAATTTCTAATTAAAAAAATCTTTTTATCATTTGAGAAATTTAAGATGAATAGAGTTTTATAATTTATATTATCTATTTCTTGTTTTTTAATATTTTAAATATTTTTTTTATAAAATTAAAACTTTTGGAAAAAAACTATTTTTAAAACTTTTTTTCTAGTTATTATTAACATCATCAAAACAGATGAGCATAATCAATAAAAACTTGTTTATATTTTATAAAATAATGAATTTTATGTTGATCAATTACCTTTAACAAAAATTTATATTACTCAAAATTTAGAATTAAATTGAAATAAACAAAATTTCTTAGAAAACCATAAAAATAAATGTTCTAAGAGAATTAAAATAATTAAAAAGAAAAAAATAAATATTTCTATTACAGCAAAATCTTTATAATCTCTTATTTTAAAAAATATAGAAACTTTCAAATTCTTAATAATCAGTTTTTATTTTTTTAAAAACTTTTTTGTTAAAGATATTATTTGATTTTTCTGGATCAAGTTTTTTAACAAAATAGTTTATAAACAAGAAAAAAAAATAAAAATTACTTTTGAAATCATATTTTAAAATTTTTTAATAAAAGTATTATGATAAAAATAATCCCTAATATTATTGAAAAATTATTTTTAACTATAATCTTTATTTTTATTTATTTATTTATTATTGAATTAATCCTTGTTTATTATAAATGGTCAATAATCCTTACTTTTTAATCCTATTTATTTATCAAATTAATTGTTGCTAATCTGCTTTTGTTGTAATAAGTCAGTTCATTTATTTTTTTATTTTTTTTTTTTATTAACCACAACTGGTATTAGATACGAGCCTTTTATTAAGAATTATCTTAACCTTGGACCTAGGTCTTTTGGCATAACACCAATCATCTCTTATAAACTATATATTTCTATATACTTACAGATTAATGATAACCTAGCGCGGCTTGTCCTAGTTAAGTCAACACTTCACTCTGAAAATGAGGTAGACTCAACTAGTGGCAGGTGGTTGATAACAGCAAAATGGCGCTATTGGTATAGTTAGTATATCTGTTTATACAAGGACTTAATATTATATTAACTTATACACTAGATCGAATTCTCAAGGGTTATTTAATCACTTAGATACCCTGATACTTTTTGCTTGAACCTCAGAAGGGATTTCTTTCTTCTTTGTCACTACCTACAGCATCACAAACAAATCCTGTTCGGTAAGTTCTTCATTTAAGCAAACACCGGATTGGGATATTTCAAGCTAGAGTAGTTAAGTGACGGTTTGGTTAGGGAGAACAGGTTTTTTGTTGTACTAGGCCTGGAAACCAGTTTAAGTCGAGATATAGGCCATGGATCTTTCCTTATTAGGGGCCCTGATCCTAATAAAGCATGATCATCTTATGTCGATCTTTTGAAGGGGGTAAGTTGACCATGGTTTTTGGTGAAATTTTGGGGGAAAATTAAATCAAGAGAATGTCTCGTTGTCATGTCCCTTGAGTTGAGTGATGGTGGTATTATCAAGTATTCAAAGCAAAAGCTCTCATATAGCTGTTCACTTCTGATCAATATGATGGCAGTTTAGGCTCTCAGCAAGTAAAACCTTATACTTTTGGTGCTACTAGATAAAATTCCCACCGTTATTACCTCTTCTCCATTCATATGGCTTGGTAAAGTAGCTAGTAATTATAGAAAGGTATGCCTAAAGTTTCGAAAGTGTAGTCTTCCTTGCTACAGATTCACCTTTCAATCGTAAGAAGTCTTGTTTTGATCTTTTTGTGTTTGAGTCCACTTTCTTAACCAGGGAAAAGCCTTGATGTACCATGGGGTTGATGATATGGTTCAGTGGAAAGAAGGAATGAGAAGCCTAGAAAGAAAACCTTGAAGAAGGGAAAAGCTATCCATCAGCAGGAAGGGTGTAAAACGAAGGGGTAAGGGATAACAGGGGGAAAAAAAAAGAACATAAGGGAGAAGGTTAAGGAGTTGGAAAAAAAATAGGAGATATAAACGTATTCTTGTCTATGATGACTCAGGCATATACAAAGCCTCGCTTCAGGAGTGTCCTGCTCCAAAAGACACTTCCCTTTGTCTCAGATATTTGCCATGTACAAAGTTCAGGTCCGCTCGTGCTTCCCTAGACATACTACTGCTTTCTATACATTGTGATAAAAATAGCATCTACTACCATTGGATAGTTATTTTTAGTCATAATCTTCATTCTATTTCCATTTTTATC